AGATTGTTACACTTTAAATTTGGTTGGTTGACAATAGAACCATAGTGACCTTGGGGTTATTTTTTATCAACAAAGTACAGAAAAGAACAAGTTAACCTTATAATTACAATTGAAGAATTTGCAATGTACAATACTTTAAGCACACCAATTAAACATCAATTCAAACTGAAACACAGATACATTTATCAATTAGCTAAAATTTGTAACTTTATTTCTCTTATAAAATTTCTTACTTTCTCTGGCTTTGTTTTATGCCCTTCAGAGCTTTCTTAGCTGTTTTCAATCCATTACTTATTTTCTCTTCAATTCTTTTTTCCAACTTGAGCATAAGCCCTATTTGACCCGCTCTGAGTCTGACCACAGCATGCACCCTCTGGTGCACTAAAGCCAAGCAGTTCTCATGCTTTTGTCCCCACCTCCTCCACACCTGTGAATTTAGCAACACAAAAGGAGGGGGAAAGTCAAAATTCTCTCCTTCCAGATCTGAAAGGACTGGTTTCTTTCCAGCATTGCCCTCTTTCTGATGGCAGACCAGGATATTGTTTTTTCTTCCAGGACTCACATATGAAGCCAAGGAGGCATTCTGTGGCACAATTTGAGCCATAAATCAATATAGGAAAAGTTGATCTGGATGTTCCCATCCAGGGGTGGTGACTGTTAGTCAGACAGACCAGATGAGACCCTCATCCAGGGATCTCTCAGCTGGCCAAGCTGGGCAAAAGTTAGGCCATTCTAACTCATAAAAGGCTCTAAGTTTTGGGGGTTTCATCTTAATACCATAATTTCCAGTAAAACTTTTAAAAAAAATTCTTAAGCATGCATTCCAAAAGAGTAGGATGAGATGTTTTTGTCCCCACGATCGGCCGATCCGAGTGTTGGTGTGTGTGTGGGTACCCTTGTACGGAGACGCAAGACAAACAAAGGTAGGGGATCACTCACTCACTTGCCTGCCTGGCTCCAGGCTTCTCTGCCACTTTAAGGTCTGTTCAGGCTAAAGTGGGCTGTCCCTTAAGCTCACCATTGTGCCTTTGTTAAATGAGACCCCACAAGTTCTACACACAAATTCCGGGACTCAGGGAGGACTGCTTAAGCAGTGCGAGTGTCTCCTCCCTTTGTCTTGTTCAGCAGCTAGTTCCACTCACTCTCCAATCCAGAGCCCTTTCACTCATACATTTATTCAGAAGTTATCACATTCCCTCCCGGTGATGCCCCTAACCATAACCAAAATGAATGGAAGAAGCTACCTCCCCAAATGGCAAAGTACAAGAGGTAATCAGGCCCCTGGACTATTTTTGCCCAAAGTTCACAAAGTAAACCAAAACAAATGGGAGGAGCTATCTTCCTAAATGGCAAAGCACAAGGGATGATCAGGCCCCTGCGCTGTATTTGCCCAAAGTTACAGAACACCAAATAAAATAAAAATGAAACCAAAAGTTAAAGACTAGGGGAGGTTTTCCCGGGACTTCTCACCCAGCCAAGGAAAGACATAGATGAGACACCAACAGCAGCAGCCCTCCTTCTGTCATCTTCCGTTCTCGGGTTCGGGCAATCTGCCACTGGCAAGCAGGTCTCTGTGTCCTGTTGGGAAGCCTAAGAAATTAGTCCCAGGGGCATGCCTTTCCTCTCTAGGAGACAGAGAGCCTCCCCCACAGTGGAATTCGGGCCAATGCCCAAAAGGGCCACTTCTTTCCCGATTCCTAGTCAGGGAACCAAATGTTCCAGAATCATGGAAAGAAATGTACGGAGACACAAAATTTGAGTAAAAAAACAAAGCCTTTAATCGCTAGTGAGGGGGAACGCCAGAAACTCATCTGATCAATGTCCACCCCTCCTTTGCTTTAGCATTTCCTTTTATACCTTTTTTTAGCCATTACCTCATTTCTGGTGGACTTAGTAAAATTTCTGTTTCTCTTTTACAACTAGTTCCTGTTAACGGTTATAGTCGCAGACATATAACAAACAGATGGCGCCTAAAACACATACACTGTAAACTATCCAAACATTTCTACTTTGCTTTTCTCCAGGTTAAATGTTATCTACAGTTAGGTTACAGGTCAAAGGTACAGTTAGCCATCACCTTAAACATAAGAGTTATGGTGCAAATTCCCAATGATGAATGTCATTATATTGTATACCTAAAATGTGCCAATGATTAGAATGAATAGTCGATAATGCAAAATAGGAAGAAAAGGTTCAAAGGGGTAGGGGTAGTGGGAGGGGCAGGGGAAAGGAAAGAAGGGAAAGGA